GAGTGCGTTTTCGGGTGTGGCTCGAGCCAGCGCCGAGTGCTGCTTGATGGGCTGCCAGATTTCCTTTTGATGCGACTGATGATTGAAGTGCTCCTTGGTCTCCACGGTGCGCTCATCCAGGATCTGTCCGTTGCGAGAGACCAGCACCTCCTCGGTGGTCGTTAGGGAAGACTTGACTGTCAGCGACGTTTCCACCTCGATGGGCTGTTGAGCCAAGCCAGCCCGGAACAGCAGCTGATTCAAATGCTCCACCGACGGCATTTGTCCATCGAGCAGAGCTGCCTTGATGGCCCGGGCATCGTCCGCAGGGATGCCATCCAACTTGACGGGCACACCGTTGATCAGCAGCACCTCCTCCTGCTGCACGGAGGACGAGGTCTCGCAGTCCACAATCTTCACATCCTTACCGAAAAGAGATTCTACAGCATTCATAATATCTTCGTCCATGGCGGTTAGTTTAGTCGTTAGTCGGGGTGAGACGAAGGGTGTAGACAATTAGGAGGTTGACTTTGGCTGTGCGCGCGTGTCGGTTGGTTGGTTGGTAAAATGCTAAATGACCCTGCGGGGTTGGGGGCTCTTTGGATTAAAGTCTATGCACATGCATTATCGAGAACATTTCTGGAAGAAGGAAGGCCGAGAGATTAGGATAAACATTGGGATACAATCGAGAGTATAAAATACATGAGACACTGGACGGATTTGCAAGAGGGTGACAACGCCCACTTTCTCAAAAGTGGGCTGGTGCTGGTCCCGCTGTCCAAAAAGCATAATTTTGCCTCAGACAAAAAATACACACCTGCAGGAAAAATGCTGCTCGTTGGCCTTCCACTTGACGCACAGTCGCCATTTCTCATGGCAGTTCCCTTGAGTTGCTCATGAACTCTCCTCTGTCACTCCTAATATCGTTAAATTTTTGCCAATTGATTTAATTTTCAATTTACTTTTGTTATTGTTGTCAATGTAGGAATCAGTGTGACCGCGGAATTATCGGTCAAATACACCGACAGACCCTCGGAAATAAATCGAAATATACCCTTGCTTTTTCAAAATATACTGTAAATATACCGGGAATCTTAAATTATTTTCCTCGAGTTTGATGTTCTATTTAATATTACGAGCTAGTTAGGAGTCTCCGCTCTAAAACTACAATTTCATTCGATTTATCAATCAATTCTCCACAAGAGTGGCTACTTTTCACGGTTTCCTTTTCATGGAATGTTTCCAAATGAAGTTTAAAACTAAAAAGGGCAACGAACAAAAATAGCATAAAACGTTACGTGATTGTTGTTACAATTTGTTGCTTGTCAACATAGTATAGGTACATAGTTATGGTTTAGTATGGGCAATTGTATACCCTATTTCCATAAATTAATATTGAAATTTAATTTTCAAAACTGCTTTCAAACATTAATAATGACTTTATATTACTGACATATTTTAAACTTTTTCATATTCCCTCCATGTAAATACATATGTATATCAATCTAGATACATTCTCGGTATCTGCATAATTTTGTTGAGATGGCTTACCAACACAGATAGAATGTTTTTGCATTGATTGGAGCCAGAGACTTCCAAAATTTCTTAAAATCGAGGATATCCATACCTCCAACGATACTAAATGTTGCTTAGTCCGTGCCCAATGTTGAGGAACAGTGCTGCTCACTTTTCGCAGCATGTTGCTGATCCAATCAAATTATGTTGCCAACGGTAAAACCGTAAGTGCCGATATAATTTAACGTAAATGGGGATGGAATAAAGACTCATGTTGCGAGATAGAAAATTCGCTACGGAATATACCGGTAATAATACCCTATATTAGTGATTATACCATAAAAATGGAATTTAATAGTCCAATGAAATTCATTAAATGTCCCATTAGATACCGATATAAAGTAAATATTCATTGAACTCACTTTCGTGGTCAAAATATCCTGAAAAGTGCATATAAAATATACCTTAAATGGTCACCCATTAGGAATGGCACCAGACCGTTGAAAGCTTTCACATTGGCACAGCTCCAACTATTATTCTACAGAACCACGTGCGCCATCTGCTGGTAGTTACATGAACTACTTTATCGATAACGCTTGACTCTACCATTTCGAATTAAGCGCACAAGTATTCAAATCGTATAAAAACATCCGTAAAAGTGTAACCTAGGCCCAGCTGTAGTTGCACCGATGGATAAAATGTATGGAATTCAGTTAATTTTCTTTATTCATCTTTTTAGAGGCTGGAACTTATTTTAGAATAACTAAACTATGGGGTAGGTGCACTCTAGGGCAATGCCGCAGAAGTTATTGCCGCGCGGCAAGCGGAAGTAGCCCTCCTCGCCCCAGACCTTGTCCCACGAGTTCTTGACGATCCAGTAATCTTTTCCCTTCTCCGAGCCATAGCCCACAACCAGAACCGAGTGATTGGGCTCATCCTCGTTGCACTTTTCATCGGCGTAGATGCCGCTCTTGTACAGCAGGAGGCTCTCCAGGCCGTTCAGGGAGCAGGCCAGGGGACCCAGAGTGGCGATCACCTTCTTCATGAGAGCCTCGTCCTTGGGCGGAATGGTGGCGAAGCCAGTGATCTGTGCACCCGACTGGGCTTTGCTGTACTTGCACGTATCCTTGTTGTCTACGTACGGATAGCCATCGGCCTTGGACACGCCCTTCTGCTGCTCGTTGATGAATGCCAGAGCGTACTCCTGGAACCCGCCATCGCAGCCGCTCAGCCCAAAGTCCAGAGTGCCGCAGTCGACCAGATTCTGCTCGGACAGGTTCGGCAGGGTGCCGGTCTTTCGGAAGATATGGCCCTCAATGGCTCCGGTGGTGGCAAAGGCCCAGCAGGAGCCACAAGTGCCCTGGTACTTCACCGAAGTAACGCCTCCCTTCTGGCGCCAATCGAAGGACTCTGGAATGACTGCTCCTGCAGGCACATTGGCCAGCTTCCGATTGGCTGTGGCCTTCGATCTGTGTTCGAATGAAGACTTTAACAAAGGAAAGGAAGGAAGACTCGAGTTGCTGATGGACTTACTCTCCCCGCGATGATTTCCGCAGGCCAGTGAGCTGCGAGAGGAACTCCGCTTTGGTCAGATCCGCAAAGGCATTCACGGCCAGCTGGTAGCTGGAGGCGCCCTTGGCAAAGGCATCGTTGCCGGCATCCACCAAGTTCTTGCGTGCAGCAAAGATGCCCTCGTGCAGCGCCTTGTCTGCCGCAGACAGATAATTCTTGCCGGATTGCGACTGTGGAAGAGAGTAATCTCAATACAAGTAGTTCCCTCCCTCGCTCTGGAGTTGGACTTACCAAGAAATCGCCAAAGTTCTGCACATTCGAGAGCTTTGGTGGGGGCGGCAGTTGGCTGGCAATGTTGGAGATGCCCTGCTGCACCCTGTTGGCCGCATTCGCAAGGGCTCCACTCAGGCGGTTGCCACCCAAGCCACCTCCAAAGCCGCCGAACTGGGCCGAAACCAAGGCAGCAAAGAGCGGAAGTACCAACAGAAACTTCATTGTGATCTGCGAAGAAGATTTATGACAGTTAACTCATCGTATAGTAATCCATTTGATGGGGGAAGATCTCTGCGCTGTTTGCTGTCAAGTAAGTGTGATTACATTTGATTCTTATTGGCTAATCAACAGCTACATCAGTTATGTCAGCATCTCTCGGGCGTGTAATTCCCATTCGCATATGCCCAACCTTACCCGTCCACTCAATCAGTAGAAATGTTTGGGTTCTATCGCTAGTCAGAGCTTATAAGCAGCTTCTCTATCATCACAAATCGATTAGATGTCTAGATTCGAAGCCTAATAAACTTGTCCACCTTGCTACCCACACCCCCCTCCCTACACACGATCCCAAGTCCAGCTCAACAGGTGATTATACAGCAGCCGAAAAGCCTTGATTATACACCGTGTAGTGGCTTTAATTGTTACCATGTGAACTGTTTTCACTGTGGAGTGGTTTGGTAACTCCTCAACGTTCATTAAACAATCGACAAAAAAAGGGTGGCAGAAAAATTAAGTTCAAACTCGTTTGCCAACAATATTTGTGATCTTTTCTATTCCGATTTATGATTTAAATGTCACTTTTGTGGGTTTTATTATTCCGCTTTGCTTTTTTACAATCGCCATAATGATTTTGAGTTGAATGCGGCTTCCAAAACGTAATCATGATTTTAATTAACACACTTAATCGCCAAGATAAGGCTGATTTTAAGCGATGTTTATACACGGACTTATCAGGGCAGGGCAGGGCAGGGAGTATGGGTCTGAGGTAACTTTGGCGGCACTGGAAAAACCGGAAGATCTCTCTCGAAAGCTCGTTGTCAAGTTCAAGGCAATTAAACATTACTGCACAAAAGATAATCCGATAATGCGAGCGAGATGCGAAAATGCACTTGCAGCCGAGACAGAAATAAACTTGTCAAACGACAAGAGTTGATGTTTGCTTTAGTTTGATTCCAGGAAGAAGATAATCCGACCAACCTTTCTCGGGCGATCGACCAACACTAATGGTATGCCCATGGGGCCCACACTGGGCTTATATAGCCTCCGATCTGGAGATCATGCAAATTCAATTAGATGAGCTACTACTTGAAGACAAAACTCGTATCGAAAATATGCAAAATTAAATCAGAAGCTCAATTAAAATTTAATATCCCTCCCGTTAAGACGGGATGCCGTTGTGGGTGTGAGACAGAGACAGTCTGCCCAAGTGTTAATTAAAGCCGCATACGTGTCGAAATAACAGTAGCCGGCAAGCACAGCCTTAGCTGGTTCTAGCCTGATTCCGAGCCAGAGCTCTAGCTCTTCCAAGAAGCTCTTCCCAGGTCTAATTTTGTTTCCCTTGCAGGGAATCACCCTGAGCAAACCGGTTTTCACCTTCGTCACTGTAGACCTGCCTTAATTATGTCAACACAACAAGCCATTCGATGAATATTCATGTTGGATTTGGATCAGGTTTGCTCGATTACGATGGATTCATTGGCTCATTAGGATCAGGCGTGAAATTGTGTGTACCATTTCATATTTATCAATTTATTAATGCTAGTAATCATGGGCTATAGGAACTCGGTAAGTTAGGCTCTGAGGAGTTGTTGAGTCTGCACGGAGCGCGATTCCTGGGGCTCTTCGTGAACGGGCGTAGCTTCGGGCAGAAAAATGACGGGCTTCTGCAGGTCCACTGGCGGCTGGGCCCAGCCTCGGGTCATGGCAAAGCGCTGAACACATGTCCGAGAGGTTAGAGAACGTTTCTTGAGGGTCAAAGTTTATGCTTACACCACTGGGTCCATTGATGCTGCCATGTCCCACTTGGGGCAGGGCCAGCGAGAGTGCCAGGGAGGCCAGGAATGTGAGGATCAGAGTAACTTTCATGTTGTTTAGCGAATGAGGGAGTTGTCCTTTCAGTGCAATTGTGTGGCTTGCAATGAGTCTGGAAGCCTCTGCGATTCCTTTATATAATTCGGCAAAGTCGGAACTTTCTCTCTTTTTTTGGGCAATTCTTCCGCACACTTCCGTGTGTTGAACTGAGTCATCTTGCCCGAGATCAGGCGCACTTTGTGCGGAGTTATAAATAAAACCCGCCACATGAGCGCACTTTTGCTTTCAATCGTTATCACGGATGCAGACTGCCGGCACGGCAGTGGGAGATTCATCTCCAGGGATTCATATTCCAGTTAGCAGTTACTTACTGTTGTTACCCCAGGAATGCTCCTCGAGCACGCACAAAGAGCAGCACAGAACGTTCCTCTTTTTTTTTTTTTTTTTTCATTTTATATTCGTTCGTTGGACTCTGCTATACATTTCAAGGTTGTCTTCACATATGCTCCGCGACTCCACGACCGCCATCTAGCTTATGTGAGTGTGCACTATGTGTGTGTGTGTGTTTGTGCTTCTTTCATTAACCAGCAGAACAGCCAGAAGAAGCAACAACAGCAACAACATCAGTCAACAAAACAGAACTTCAAACGAAGTCACTCTCGTCTGCGTCAGGGCGAAGGTGGAGCCGAAGAATGAAGACAACGACGATGGATCAGCAGCAGCAGCAGGGGGGGGGGGGGGGGCAGGGGTGGTCTTACACTCTCGTACCTTTGGGCATCTTCTGGTTAATGTGTTGTGTCCACAGTCGCTGCCGGCCCGCCTCAACTCCATCTCCATCTCCATCTTCATCCAATTGTTGAACGACACCCGACACACATAAAACTTGATGTGATGCGTCTCCGTCTCGAAATCCTCTTTAAATTAAGAAAGATGATTTGCAGATTTGAATGCAGACACAGACATCAACTGGACAGACAGCGGAAGACCCAACCAAGTGATGTAAGCCTGCCAACGAATTTATTTGTTCTTTCGGGCTCGACTAGGGTCGGACCCAACTGCGCCTGGGGCTGCAATAAAGGAAACCCCACACACACTTCACTTTTTAGAGCCTTAGCAGTTAATTTACGATTATTGGCTTTCATCTTCTTTTCAACTAAGCCAAATACATCCCCAATCCCCGACCCGCAGCGACTTCTTTATGATTTGTTCATGGCCAAGACAAGTCTGCAGCGGCTGTCTTCGGATCTGTCCCTAGAATATCCAACGATGATGGAGCACACACTCAGATTAGAATCATCTTCTAAGAGGTTTACTGACACTCGTAGCAGTTTTATTGGAGTGATGTGATGATCGTTATCATTTCACAGTTGCATTCAAATCTTATAACGTGACAGATTGCATCTGCCTGGCATAAATATTACAATAATACAGTGGCCAATCCATCGAGACATTCCCCCCCATATTTCAAATGTTTGTTCATTTTACTTGGTAGTTTTTATTAAATCAAGAGTTTCCTTTTTTGTCATACAATTAAAGCATACAATAAATCGTATTTATATATAGTAGAATAGTGTCTTAGCTCCTTTAATCTCTTGTTGCTCGATATATGCTAGTGGAATGATCAGTGCGGATCGCGAAATTTCTAGAGGGGCCCACGGACTGCCCCGGTCTGCGGGGATGGGTCCGCAGAGAGAAGCGACATTTTCGGACGTTAACCGGCCGGCACTTGAAAATGCTCGTTCCTCAGTGGAACCCAATCCCACAGTGGATGGGAGAGTCCCGTTGTAGGCCCCAGACCCAAACACACACAACTTAGGCTAGTGGATGCTAATGGATGCTGGGGGGGAGATGGGCGCCTAGTTATGGGGCACCAGGGTCTTGCCCAGGACCCGCATGGCGTTCGAGTAGTCGGAGTCGATTTGGGGTATGATCTGCTGCTCGTTGGGGCGCAGGGTGCGTATCAGGTCGTTCAGCGAGAGCGATTGCTTGGGCAAGTTCTCCTCATTGGACGGGGTCTGCATCTCCTGCGAGCTGGCCATCTTCTGGAAGTCCTGGGCAATCTGCTTGATGCGCTCCTCGATGGCGGCGGCGGCCGGCGACTCTGTGGAGCTCGGCAACGCCTCACTGGCCTGTCCAGGTGCCTGGGATTCGGCCTCCGAGTCGGTTTCTGCTTCTGCCTCCGCTTCCGGATCAGAGTCTCCCTCAGCCTCCGGCTCGTGCTCTGCGCTGACACTCTCCTCGGCAGCGGCGGCGGCTGCTGGTGCGGCATCTTCATCGTGGTGCTGCAGCTGCTGCTGAACCTCTTCAATGGAGTGCATCTCGTGGTGCAGCTCGTTGTCGTGCAGCGGGAAGACGTGCTCCTTGATGTCATCGCCCTCTCCATCGCCGACCAGCTCGCGGGCATGCTCGCTGAAGTTGTCGCTGTCCCCATCGTGATCGTCGCCCTCCACATCGCCATCACTCTCCACCTCGTGCTCGTGCTCGTGGTCGTGCTCGTCGTGCTCCTCGGCGTCCATGTCTGCGTCCTGGTCATCCACCTCCACGTCAATGGCATCCTTGTCGGTCAGCGAGCGATCTTGGTTCAGCTTGAAGGAGTGGAACGACGGCGAGCTGGCCTCCTCTGCCAGCCGATGGGCAATGGCTGGCGACGACTTGGCCTTGGCGGCCGTGTACAGGCCTCCGGTGGTGGACATGAGCAGAGGCAGGGGCGTGGTGGTGGTGGCGGCATGCAGATGCATCAGTGCGGCAGGCGGTCTGGGCGTGGTCGAGGTGATGGGACGTCTGTGGCCCAGCGCAGAGAGGGAAGAGATGAGAACGAAAACAGTTTGCCATTTGAGTATTGCTGCTTGACAGAGGCGTACCAAGGGGGCAGGGCAGGGCAGGGCAGTTGGAGTGGGCGTGGGCGTGGGCGTGGTTAGTGCGAAAGTTCGAGCTGTAAGCTGCTTATGCTAAAGTTAGTTAGTTGAACACAAATCATCATGACAACCACAACGACAACAGCAGCAGCAACAACAGCAGCAGCAACGAGAGCGAGAACATCTCTACATATATAAGGAAGCTAAGCCCCAAACCACCAAACAAATTATTACATGAAGTAGATTTCAGTTTTAGATCTCCATTTTGTATGTAGAACTTATGCGAGATTCTTTTGGCGCTCATATGGAAACGAACTGGAGTAAAATGTAATGCAATCTGCACCATTTTTTGAGATTTATGTGGAACCAAAGGGGTTTAATTTATGCATCGATTTCTTGCATTATCTCTGGTATAAAGTCTGTTCAGGTTGCATTCATTAATCGCAGTTATCGCATTGGCGTCTACAAAGAATTTTGATCAAATCTCGAAGTGTTTTTGTTTTTGGACGGGGCGTTAGTAAGAAGTTAGCTAAGAGCTTCGCATTAGTCTTTAGATGTATGCATAGATTGGCACGCAGGCACAGACACAGGCACAAACACAAGCACACAAGCTGCGTATCTGTGTGAGCTGTGCCTGCGTGCCCATGTGTGTGTGTGTGTGTGTGTGTAGTTATGGTAGATTTTTGTAACGATTTGGGGTTTAGCTCACCTATATTTCAGTTTCAGTTTCAGTTTTTGTTCTGTTTGTTTTTGTCTTTTGGCAAATATCTTTTGATCTCTCTGCGTGTGTGAGTGTTCTGTCTGTGTGTGTGTGTGCATGTGTGTGTATTTGTGGTCAACTAAATTAACTTTCATTTAATCAGGTGTTCCTTGCGATCATATCTATATAAATATGTGTGTGTGTGTGTGTGTGTGTTTGTGTGGGTGTGGGTGTTTGTGCTCGATTTGAACTTAATTAGGGAGATTTGTTTAGTTGCCGCTGGTGGGCCGTTCGTATAGCGAATGAATTAACTTTAATTATAGTATAATAATTTGTTTATTGCATTATGAATATGGTTCACTGTTTCCTCTTCTCTCTTTTCTTTTCTCTTCTTTTCGTTACTCTCTGTTCTCTTCTCTTCACTTCTCTTCACTTCTCCTCACTCAACTTCTGGCTTGATCTTATTCGCGCCTTTTCTTTTCGCTTAGTGGCTGGCCGTGGTCTAGTGTCCTTACCCCTGCGCAGACGAGACCGGGATGCTGCCGTAGTTGTAGTAGTAGCAGCGGGTCTGCTCGCAAATGAAGTCCTTGACGGCCGAGCAGTCCTCGGGCATCCACTTGAGCGTGGGCTGCTTCAGGATAACGCATCCCTTCTCGGCGCCACTGCTGCTATAGTTCGAGATGGCATGGGAATGGGAAGAGCAGAGAGAGCGATGTAAGGAGAGATACATACTGGGGCCGGACAGGGAGGCCAATGATCTTCCTGCAGTACTTACCTGTCGCGGGCGGTGCGCTGGGGCGAGGTGTTGCTGTTGTGATCGACGGGATCGAGGAGGCCGGCCTGGATGGCGTCCGCCGAGTTCTCGAAGAAGTCAAAGGTCGCATTGAACGGTAAACCGGTGCTCATCCATAGGAACATGCCCGTGCCCAGGCGATTTCCGGAGGTCCAGAAATCGTAGTTGCCGTAGCCGGCATTCTTCAAGTACGTGGTCATCGATTCGGCCTTCTCCTTCGTCTCGAACGAGGCCAGCTGCAGGCCCAAGGAGCGGCAGTACTGGTAGGCCAGGAAGTAGTTCAGCTCCGGCGAATAGGGATTCATCCGGCTAATGAAGTACTGAACTCCATCCAAGTGGATGGTCGTAATGCGTTGACCTAATCCCAAAAGAGTAGAAGCACAATTAGTTGAGGTTTCTGCAGGTGAACGAACCCCAAAAGTTCCCAAAGACGCCAAACTTCATCCGGGGATGCCGCTCTGAATACCGAAACAACACCTATGAAATCGCAACGCGTAACCGAAATAATTGTGGTAACGGTTCCAGTTTCGGACATCGCATGCGTAATAGCCAGAGAGAACAGCCACAAAAACAGAACGAAGCCAAAGACAAATATCATTAAATAGGATTTCCAAAAGTAGTCGGCAATTGTCTCTATATAAAGAAGAACAAACGAAGCGAAGAACTTTGGACACATGAATCACATGACTCATGATGACAATGGTAATGATGATAGTAATGATGATGATGATGACCAGGAGCATTTATGCGGTCTCTGACCCGAAG